GCCTACACCCCTGTTCTTCTACGCAAAAGAAAAAAAAAAGTCCTATTTAGTTTGCTGCTGTATCTTTAGCACCTCACTGGTGCACTGAATGAATAGTGCCAGCAAAAGTCCTGAGGTTGACTTACTTTGGCTCAGACTGAGCACCATGTCCATCCCCAACCCAATCTATGTGACACACCTTACCTGGGTCAATTCCCCAACACATGGATTGAGATGGGAGAAAGGAAGTTCCTCAAATGTAGTGATGGGTCCTATTATCAGAAGACTTACAGGCAAAACTAGTATATCCCTGCATCCTTAGAATGCAGCACTGCTGGGCCTCCCTGGTGGCACAAGAGATTAAGCACTGCACTATGAAGCTATCCACAGCCTCTACAGCACAAGTTCATTCCCCGGCTGGCCAGGGAGCTACCCACATGGCGCAGCAGACCTCTCCTATCTCACCTGCTGCTCCCCTCAGCATTGTATTTTAGTCAGTCTGCCTGTTCTGTTCCCCACCCACCACATCTCTGGCCTGTACCCCAGTTCTTGTATGCATAAGTAAATACATCTTTAAAAAAAAAAAAAGAGGGCCTCCCTGGTGGTGCAAGGGGTTAGGACGTAACCTATGAAGCTGCCGGCAGACCTCTCCTGGCTTGCCCACTGCTCCCCTCAGCTTGTACTTTGGTGGGTCTGCCTGTTCTGTGCCCCACTCTGTCTCTGCCGAATCATCTCACTCCCCCGCATCTCTGGCCTGTACCCCAGCTCTTGCATGCATGAATGGATAGATCTTTAAAAAAATAAAAAAGATTGCAGAGCTGCTGCTTTTTCTCTGAGTTATCCACCACTTGGATCTACACTGAAACAGTACAGGCTTGAAGTCTTGTGGGTGCTGGGTGTGCTGAATGTCCAAGTTGCAGACCCAGGATAATCCTCACCAGCAGAGAAGAATAAGGCTTCTTGCAGTTGGATCATATGGCAGTGAGTGTGTATTTTGTCAGAAAAGACAAAAATGCCAGAAGCTCAGAATTTCTTCCAGACCAGGACAATGGGCATTTCCAGGCTTGGAGCCCTTCTAATCTATACCTCCTGGGCCTCCCTCATGGCACAAGCACTATGAAGCAATCCGTGGCCTCTGCAGCATGAGTTTGGTCCCGGCCGGCCAGGAAGCAACCCACATAGCACAGCAGACCTCTCCTGTCTGGCCTGCTGCTCCCCTCAGCAGTGTATTTCAGTCAGTCTGCCTGTTCTGCTCCCCACTCTGTCTCTGGTGAATCTGCTCACCACCCCCCACCTCTGGTCTGTACCCCAGCTCTTGTATACATAAATCTTTAAAAAAAAATCTGTACCTCCCAACTTAGCCAGGAGCCTCTGATGCAAGGCCTCATTTGTTCATTTCTATGGGTGGCACAGAGACATGGCTAGTTTGAGTGTCAAAATATCTCTCTGAGTGCCTTATGCCTTAAGTGAGGAATATCAAGGAGGGGGCTCCAGAGTCTCAGCTCCCAGTTCCACCCATCCCACTGATTAATTCCTAAACCACTCCCTATTTCCTCTCCCCCTATCTGCAGAAACCTGGAGATGGAGTGGGCAAAGGGCCCAGAAAGAAGAGGTCTGATTGGTATATTTTTCAGGTATTTTATTAAGAATAAGGCATATGACAGTCACCCCTAAAGCACAGGGCTCTATGTCCGTGGGTGAGAGAATACACTCTGAAAAGCATTGGATTAAAAAGCGCAGCCAACAGAGAATTTGGAGCAGGATCTTTCTGTCCTGTCCATGGGGCTCCTGCCAGGTGGTTCTGAAGCCCTGCATGCCCCCCCTTCAAGGCTGGCGCCTCAGCCAGTGGGTGCTTAGAGATCTTGGGCTCTCTGCACTGAGTAGAGGCTGCGTCACACCCTCTTGGTGTCCTTCCTCTCCACCAGGAGATCTCTATTCTGCTGCTTATTTGGGGGAAGGACTATCCCATTTCACCCCTGTGGAGTCTCCCAAACTGCAGGTCGCTGTGTGTGGGATATGGGGGAGGAAAAGCATGGGTACAGAACCTCTCGCTGCATTGCCACTGGTTCCTGGCAGGCTTCCAGAACAGGGAGGGGTCCCCCTTCAGCCCTTTGGGGTTAACTGGGGTACCAACTAGGGCCCCTGAGTGTCCATGTTAACATGCCTCACCCCCAATGGCAATTCTTGTAGCAGATAAAAGGGAACAAATGGGAAAGAGAAGCAATCTTTCCCTTCTAGTTAACCAGGTGTTCCAGGGGGACAGGGGAGGGTGACCTTTCCTTTGGCAGCGTGGGTCCCCCAGGCTAGGGAAGAGGGAGGACCGGAAGCTGACGGGTGGGCCTCTCCCAGGCCCTTAGGCTGAGAAGTTTTGGGCTGCTGAGGCCAAGGGCCGTCACTGACTCCCAGTTCTTTTGTGCTGTACTCTTCCAAACCTGGGAGCAGACAAGTGGAGGGAAGTCTCTCCTTCATTATTTCCAGGAGAGGGATAGGAAGGGGGATTTCTGTTAAGATTGCTACCTTGTAGCTCCCTCAAGCATACACCCACCCGCAGCTGCTGAGTGGAGGGGGAGGGTTGCCTTATTCCCTTTCCCAGACACCCCCAACACCTCAGCTGAGAGTCAGTGAGTCAGCCGCCCCAGCACTTGAAACCTTTCATCTGGGGGATCTCCAAGCACCCCACAAACAATTAAGTGTCATTATCTCTGGATGCTGGAAGAGGGACAGGCATTGGGAAGTGCTGATGGGGTCACTTGGGGAGAGGCAGGCAGGCTGCTGGAAGATCCTGGGGTAGGGCTATGGTTAGGGTCCTAGCCTGACACCCTGGGTACTGGCGGGGGGTTGGGGGGGAAGAAGGCTATTGCTATAGAGCTGGGGGCAAGGCCAGGTGGCCATAACTATGGCTTTTAGTGGGTGGGTGGGTGGATAAAGTACTTTACCATCTCTGTAGTAGAACTGACATAACAAAGTCACCCTGTTCACCCCAAAAGTGTGGTTGTGGAAGATGAGGGTCTGGGCAGACTCCTCCATACATCCTCCTCACAGTCCTCTGGGCCCCTTCAAGTGATTGCAGCCAAGAGAGAGGAGACAGGCCTCCTCACACAGATACATTATGGAAGAGAGGGTGATAAGATGAGGGGTAGAATGAGTTACACTTTAGGGGAGACACAGATGGCAGAGGTCCAATCACAGAAATGGGGGGTTTGGGTAGGGGGGCAGGCAAAGCAAGGACCCTAGGCCACTTCTTGGTCCAACTTAGACTGGAGAGCACTGTCCGTCCCAGGTTGCCCACAGCTTGGCCATCTGCTCCTAGAGGCTGGACACTCCCAGCCAGGCCTGGTTATTGCTCATGGCTTGAGCAGTCCTGAGTGTGGCCAACTGGGATGGGACTGCATGTTTGTGTGGGCTGGGGGTGTGTACACTGCTTCCCCCTTGCTTATTTCTTGCTCCCTCTAACAGATACAGTGAAAGAGGATATGAATGGTGATTCCTTATCTCTTCTTTATGGGAGCCACGAGGTGAGAAGGGTTCATTACTTCTAGAGACTGACTCTGCTCACTTTCCAAATCCCCGGGTGACACAGAATGCTTGGCCTCAGCAAGCTTAGGACATGCCAGGATGGGGTGTTTGTTAAGGTAAAGGGCTCTTCCTGCCCCCATGTTCTCTTGGCAACCCCTGGAAGACCTCACAGGCACTTAGGACTGGATGCAGGACCCACAGAGGAGGGCTGGCATAGGGTGTGGGGGAAGAGCACTCTAGAGGGTTTTCTTTGTAGCTGGTCTTGGGGAGGGGGCGACAAGCTGGACTGGAACCGTACTTCCTGCCTTTGGTAGTGAGAGGGGAGCTAGGGAGAGATGCAGTTAGAGGTGGGGCATGCCACTTTCCATCTTGCCACTCCCCAACCTTCACAGAAGGGTACTGAGCATCCCGTCACTGTCAGGTCTGATAGGATTGGGGGCATCCCTGGAGGGGGCCAAGCTGTGGCCTAACTTGTGTCCTCTCCAAACCCCCCCAGTAAACTCAAATCTCTATCAATAACTGCCTTTTCAAAGAGGGTAAGGGGATTTCCTTCAACCTCTGGGTATAACCAGCTAATTAGAAAACTGGACAAAATTAGCACCAATAAACAGGACTAGGGAAACTCCCAGGGCAGCCTTTCCATTCCCAGCTACCTCCTGAAGGCCGCTTCTGCCCTTGCACGAGCCTGATGGGGCAGCAGGGGGTGTTCCACCTCACTTCCCCAGCACAGCTCCTAGTCCAAATACCTAGGCTGGCATCCTGGGCAAGAAGTGAGCTGGAGACAGCTCTGGCCCAGGTTCTGCCATCAAATCCATTCTGTAAGGGTCTATGGGTGCTACCTTCCAGAAGTTCAAACTTCCATCAGGCACACTTTCCTCCCCAGGGGCTCTGGGAGGAGGTGTCTTCTAAAGTGTTGGGTGCTCATCTGTAAGGACTTACAGGGGGCGAGGGAGTGGGAGGAAGAGACTTCAGAGGAAGAAGTCCAGCCTTCAGCCCTCCACTCCTTGGAGGAAGGCTTGGTGGGAAAGGCAGCCCTGCGGGGCTGAGGGAGGCCGGAGGGGAGAGCTGGAAGGCCTAGGCGCGTTAAGTGCCATTCCGTGTTCCTTCCCGGAGGCCACTCCAGCCTCCCCGGAGGCCACTCCAGCCTCCCCGCTACAGGCAAACGATTGTCGGCTTTCCTGAGGCGGGGCGTGACCCCCCGCCGGGTGGCAGGTGGGGAACAGATAAGGATCTGTACTTCGAGTCCTTTCCACAAAAAAAAAGTGCACTCGCTCAGCCCCGCGAAGGTGCTCCCTTGCGGGAGGGGAGAGCTCAAAGCTTCGGAAACGTTGGGAAATACAAAAGGCGGGGGCGGTTGAAAGGGAGGGGGAGCTGGGGCCGCCTCCCCTCGCTCCCTGAAGGAGAGGCCGGTTCTCCCAGCCCCCGAAACCTGCCTGCGCGCGGCCCGAGCTGCGTCCCTCGCGGGGGTCGGGCCTTCCCCTCGCCCCACCTTGCCAGCTTGGTGCCTACTCCGGGTCCCCAGGCGCGCCAGGGGGGCTGGGCGCTGCTGGGGGGTTCGGGCAGGGCGCCGGCTGCAGGTCGACTTGGTCTTGCGGAGGCTGCTGGCGCGGGCCGCGGCCACCGGGCCGCGGGGGCCTCCGGGCGTAGAGGAAGAGCGCGGGGTCGGGCATGGGTTCGGTGTCGTCCAGGGCGCCAGCCCCGCGGTCCCAGGCGGCCCAGTCCCGGCCGGGGCCCTTGGCGGCGGCCTCCGCGGCGGCGACGGGCGGGCGCCGGGCCTTCTGTGCGCGCCGGCGCGGCCGCGGCTCGGGGCCGGGGCCCGGGCGCGGCGTCTGCAGTCTCTGGCGCGCCGCGTGCAGCTGGCACGAGAGGTAGGCGGCCGCCTCGGTGTGCTTCTGCAGCTCGGTGCCCAGCACGGTGGCGCGGTGGCTGCGGCGACGCAGCTCCTCCAGGAAGCGGCGCTCCTCGGCCCGCAGGCTGCAGCGCAGCGCCGACACGAGCGCCTCGCGCTGCGCCACCTCCCGCCGCAGCTCGGCGTTGGCCTCGGCCCGCGCCGCCAGCTGCGACTCCAGCGCGCGACACTTGCTCTCCAGCTCGAGGGACGCGGCCTCTGGAGAGGGGCGAGAGAGGGGAGCGTTGACGGCCTCCCTGCACAGCTCACAACCCACGTAACAAAGCCCGGCACCTCGCCAACGTGTACGTGTCCTGCCAAGCTAGGCCTCAGAGGCCTTTTTCTTCCGCAGGGCCTCTCCACCTATCCCAATCTCTGCTTGGCCTCTCCTCTAATTCTTTAGGTTTCACTCAAATGTAAAATCCTCCATGACCATTTGTTCACCCGACAAATATTTGTTGAACCCTTACTATGTATATTGTGTTTGGCACTGGGCACTTGGTGGTTAAGAAAACATTCCTCAGGAAGCTTAGAGCAACCACAAGCGAGCATGAGGTTGCCTGCGTGACATGTGCTGATGCCAGGACTGCAGTAGGAGACTGACCTATTGGGGAAGGTTTCTCAGCAGAAGGCAGACTTGAGCTAGGAATGGCCCTTCAGGCCAAATGGAAGTGAAGGGATGAAGGGGGAGAGAAGGGTGCTTCTTCTGACAAAGGGAACAACTTGTCCAAAGAGACATACGAGCAAGGGCCTGAGAGACCTCTCTAGTGCTGCAGGGGTTAAATCTCAGCGCTATCACCACTGTGGCCTGAGTTCTGTCTCACCCGCTGCTCCCCTCAGAGTGTATTTCAGTGGATCCACCTGTTCTGCTCCCCACGCTGTCTCTGGTGAATCCTCTCATCACCACACCTCTGGCCCATACCCCAGTTCTTTCTTTTTTTAAAAAGATTTATTTATGCATGAAAGAACTGGGGTGTAGGCCAGAGGTTCGGAGGTGGTGTGTGTGTGTGTGTGTGTGTGTGTGTGAGTGAGAGAGAGAGAGAGAGAGAGAGAGAGAGGATTCACCAGAGACAGAGTGGGGAACAGAACAGGCAGATCTACTGAAATACACTGCTGAGGGGAGCAGCCGGCGAGTCAGGAAAGGTCTGCTGCACCATATGGGTTTTTCCTGGCCAGCAGGGGATCGAACTAGTGCTGCAGTTGGCTGGTGACAGCTTGATAGTGCGGTCTTTAAGCCCTAAGGCTCCAGGGAGGCCCAATACCCCAGTTCTTGTATGCATAAATAAATTTTAAAAAATTAAAAAAAGAGCAAAGACCTGAAAAAACTGGGAGTGTATATGTGTGGGGGGTGGGGGGAGGGGAGTAGAATCAGTGTGCCCCAAAACTTGCCAAAAGATGACACAGGAAGGGACATGAAAATTACCAAGTGACAGGAAGATAATGATAAAGCTGCTCAAGCCTATTGAGAGAGAAGATAAAAATGTGGACACTGGGGCAGTACTTTGAACTCAGATAATCCCAAACCCTTTCTTTTTTTTTTTTTAAAGATTTATTCATTATTTATACAAGCACTGGGTACAGTCAGAAGCGCGGGAGGGTGAGAAAATTCACCAGAGCCAGAGCTGGGAACAGAACAGGCAGACTGACAAAGAAATACACTGCTGAGGGGAGCAGCGGACAAGATGGGAAAGGTCTGCACGCCATGTGGGAGCCTCGCCAGCGGCCGGGGATCCAACCAGCGCTGCAGAGGCTGTGGGCAGCTTTGCAGCCCAGCACTCCAACACTGCGCCACCAGGGGAGGCCCCCCTCCAAACCCTTTCAAAGGAAGGCTAACAGATAGGTAATGTGAAAGCTGTTATTGTTACAGATCTGTCTTTCCCTGAAGCCTGGGACATGTGTTCTCTTCCTCCAAGCACCTAGTCAACAAGTGGTTGCCACTTGAAGAAGGGGGCAGAATTGGTTCAAGTTCACGTGTTTAGATTTTTATGCATGAAAATGCAAAGCAATCTGTAGGTCTTCTAACATTTTACCTTAAACACCCAATCTTCCCCATGCCTAGGTCTTATCTATAAGTAGCACATCAATACAGCAGGGAGTCCATTCTTAAAACCCTTCTGGATGAGAAAAAGTATTTTTGTGATTCATTTTTAATTAATTATTTACTGAGTCACTTTTCACATCAGGTAATGGGTCTTACATTGAGAGACAATGAGTAACACCCAGTCCTAGTTCTCAGAGATCATGTAATCTGGTGACTGATATCTCAACAATGCAACGTCCTCTTAAAAAAAAGGGGGGGTTTTAATTGCGGTTAAAAAAACAACAACAGGGCCTCCCTGGTGGCGCAGGGGTTAAAGACAGCACCATCAAGCTGCTGCAAGCCACTGCAGCACCTGTTTGATCCCAGCTGGCGAGGGAGCAACCCACATGGTGCAGCAGACCTCTCCTGTCTCATCCGCTGTTCCTCTCAGCAGTGTATTTCAGTAGATCTGCCTGTTCTGCTCCCCACCCTGTCTCTGGTGAATCCTCAAACCCCCTGCACCTCTGTCTTACACCCCAGTTCTTGTATGCATAAATAAATAAATCTTTAAAACAACAACATAAATTTGGCACTATTAAGTATACAGTTCAGTAGTATTAAGTATGCTCATGTTGTACAACAGATCTTTAGGTCTTTCATCTTGCAAAACTGAAACTCTATACCCACTGAAAACCATCTCCCTGCCCCACCCACATTTTGTGGGTGAAGTAATAATCTGTAAGCAAATATTTTTAGTTGAATTGCTACAATGGCAAGAAGTTATGCTTCTGTAAAATGAAGGATTTGCTAATGTGAGTGTGTCTCTTTTCTCCTCATCTAGATTAACTTCCTCGAAGTCAAGGACCATTTGTGGTGCATCTTTACACTCTATATCTTGGAGGATGTGGACACTGACCATGGGAATCAAGGTCAGTGATTCCATCTTTTGGCAAGGATGGAAATGATTGGAGAGATAGGTCTCAGAAATGAAGTCGACCATATAATCTGGTGGGCACCATCTTCTTCCTGCTTTCATGGTCCCACTTTGGATAAAGACATGGATACAGGGCACCATGGATGGTGGTGCAGATTTTCACTGCACAAAGTTACCTAGCTGGCTAGACAGCCTGCACTCTGCTTACCAAGCTGAGGAGTGGCTGTCCCCAAGCCTAGACTGGGGCTAGAGAATACTTGGGTCCTACTACGTGGGTTCCCACTAAGTGGTGAAGAAAAGACTTGGGTCCTATAAATTGGGCCCCTGTGGCACCTCCCCACTTATTATCCTTCTCTTACCTTGCTGGTGAGATTGGGCCTCTCTCATCTCCAGGTCATGAGTCAGTTCTGGGAGAAGAGAAAAGACAAGACAATTTGTGTGTGTGTGTGTGTGTGTGTGTGTGAGAGAGAGAGAGAGAGAGAGAGAGAGAGAGAGAGGAAGAGAGAGAGAGAGTATATTGGGAATTACAGCTCAGTAAAAGTGGCAATAAGGATTCTAAGCCCCCCCCCCCCCCCCGCCGGCCCACAACTATTTTACTGCAACCCAATAAGGGGACAAGATGAAGCGATATTTCCAAGACTTAACTATCTGATTCTAAGCCCAGAGATCTTTGCAGTGTAAGCTTTGTGACATGGGTTTGGGGGTCAGTTCACTGTTATGGGATTGAGCCCCTTCTCAGAATGGATATATAAATAAATACATGCCAGCCAGTCAAAGTCATCCTGGAAACCTACGTTGCACTAAGCACAGAGCATTTGATACTGAGTTAATGAATCTGGGAAGGCTGGAGTGTGCTGAGCAGCTTGGGGACACTGGAGGGGGACTCAAGATAGTGACTGTTTACCAACAGGACACGTCTCACAACCAGTAATGCTGTGCCTATGTTATTTTCTGAACCTCAGTCCTGCTGCCTCTTTTCCCAGCCCGGGTTCTGCCATTCCACAAGGCTGGGAGAGGGGCTTTAGGGAGGACAGCACCACCTGCTGATGCAAGCCTGCATGGTACTTGGCTTGGCGCTGAGGGGGTGGGGCAAGGCGGCCGGGGAGCCCTGCCCTGAGGGGGTTAGCAGCCTAGTCTCCTCTCCTCTGTCTTCTAGTGGGCCTGTCTGCCTGTCCCCATTCCTTAGAACCCAGACTGCCCTACCCTTAGCCCAACTGAGTTTGATAATTTTTTCAGCTCTACCCTCACCCCCCTCAAGAGTGAAATGTCTGGAGGGCTCCTAGGATCTAAAGCTGCCTGTGATGAAGGGCACCTTTCGCCTCAGGAGCCCCTGGGTGTACCTGTGGGGACACGGTGTGGTGCCCAAAGGGAGAAAGTGTGAATCTGGGATAGGAGGAAGGTAGCATATCTCTGGGAGTTGAGGCCCAGCAGCACCTACAGAGACCAAGCTTGTGGGTCCTCTGTCCGCCACTCCTCATTGCCTTCACCTGCTCTTCTAAAAACCACAGGCTTCGCTGGAGGTGCCTTCCCTGAGAGGCTAACTGTTGCTAGGAGACAGAGCCAGGGTGCCTGGGCCTTTTGATGTGACCGGAGCCTGAACCTCCTCAGGTCCTGAGGCCCCTGGGAAGATTCTGATGCCTCCACCACCCTCTCTTGGGACTTCCTGGGCCAACTTAGCCTCTCCTCCAAGGCCCTGTGATATAGCCCAAGAGACCTTGGACTAGGTTCAGGGACATATCCCAGGGGATTCTGGCTCTGCCAGTAACTCCCTTTGGGCTAGTTTCTGCTCAGCCCTTAACCACTCAGTCAGGAGAGGGAAGACAGAATCCCTGCTTTGCACTACTCCCCTCCCATCACCTTCCCTGTGCATCTCTGGCCAGTCCTCCCAGTTTAGATGAGCACGCTGAAAGGTCAGATGTACTGTGTGACCCTGGGCCAGTTAGAGCACATCGGAGCATCAGTTTTTGCATCTGTAGAATGGGGATGAAATAACATCCGCCTCACAAGGGGCTGATGCCAGGATTAAATGACAAAATAAACAGAAGACTTAATGTAGGGCTGAGTCAGTGCTGAATACATGGGGGCTGCAATCCAGAAAACCCCTTCATTCTAAGTCTGCACCCTTTTATGGCAGGCTTTCTCTGCATCTCTATCCCCTTGGCTGCTACTCCCACCCTCTCTCTAGTCTCTGTGGTTTCTTTAATCTCTTTAAAAAAAATCTTCTCCTTTGTCTGTTTCTTTCTCCTCCTCACTCCCCACCTCTTGGAAGGAGGGCCTTATTCAGTCATTTCAGCCCCAAGAGTGGTGCTCCAGGCCAGCACATAGTTATTTTTATCTCCTTAATCAATAACCAAGAGGCTGCAGACTCATACCCGTCTGAGAAGGGTGGTGGGGGCCAAAGGCCCTCTGTTACTGCCTATTACATCTGCTTGGGATCCTGGCTTGTGTCCTGAGTGGAAGAACCCAGATTTTCAGAATTAGAGCAAAGCGAAAGAAATCAGAGTAAGAGCTACATAGTCTTAGGGTTCGCTCACCTCAATTTTCCTTTAATGTTATAACTGCAATAAAAAATGGTTTTAGAAAAAAAAAAAAAAGAAGGCACAAGTTAGGGGTAGGTGGGCATAGGCCAATCCTGCTCCCCTGGGCTGGTCTCTGCTGCCATCTAGTCTTGGGGGGAGATTGCAGGGAGTCTGGCCTTGAAATGTGGCAACTGAATGCATGGATTTGGAGATAGAGGAGGCTGTGGGGGCTGAGGGTCAGGACTACTAGCTTCTCATGCCACCATGAGAAGCCAGACAGGTCACTCAATCCTCTGGGCCCTCTCCTGAGCAAGAACTGTAAGGGGTAGAAGTCTGAGCATCTTGGGGAGCGTACAGATTGTGTTCTAATCCTTGTCCTGCCACTAGCATATAATGGGGCTCTGTCTCTCTCTGTGCCTCAGTTTACCTGCTTGTACAATGAAGAGGTTTGGTCATTTCAGCTGAGACAGTCTGAGTCACTGGGTCTAAAGCCTGTACTTGGAGACTTAGCCTGGGTGAGCATATGGGTCAGAGCCAAGGCTGTGAGAGGGCCAGATAGTTGAAGACTGATGTCCAAGAGTGGAGGTCAGGCCTGGGATTTTGCTTCATCCTTAGTCCTCTGTCCACCCCTGTCCTGCTCAGAAATCAATGGGCTGTCCTTCAATCTGCCTTTCATTGCTCCTTTCCTTCTACCTCTCCCCGAACCGTTTCATCAGCCCCGTCACTAGTCAACCTGCCCCCCGCCCCCCACTAATTCATCTTCCATACAGCTATCAGATTGCATTTTTTAGTGCAGTGTGATACTGTTCAAAAACCTTCAGTGGCTCTCTACTACCAAGGTGGACAGGCCCTACTTCTTAGCTGTCCTGATATTTGTCAAGGTCTTCTTCCATCTGGCCCTAGCTGTATTTCTCACTAATCTCCTTTAAGTGCAGCTTTACCCAGTCAAATAGAACTTTTCATGAGCTTTTGATTTCCTACCCTCTGGACTTCACCATGCTGCTCCTTCATTTGGAATGCTTTCTCCCCCCTCATCCCCCCATAATATCTCAACATGTCTAAATCTTACTCAGGCTTAAAGGTGAGGAAATGTCCCCTCCTCTGGGGAACCTGAATGCCTGGTCTCCTCCATCACCTGCTTCTCATGCTAGACAACCATGTCTGTGAACTCGTGGCCCTCTTTCTTTTGTATGGATCTTAATAGTACTGCTGGGCTGTGTGTCTCCCCAACTAGATTGAGGGCTTCTTGAGGACTGGGAGGTGCTTAATGAACATTTAGTAGAAAAGTACAGAAGTCCCCTGGAATGGGTCTCTGATTTCCCTCTGGGCCTAGCCAGAAGCTATTGCCCTGAAACTACTATCTCACATCCCCAAGACTCAGTTTCCTCATCTAGAAAAAGAGATGATGAACACCCACCTGCAGGATTCTTGTAAGGCTCAGAGAGGGTGTCCCATCAGAGCTAGTGCTTACGATGCCAGTCACCCCCAGCTCCCCGCGCCTCCACCCTTCTGGCCATCCCTCTTGGCCTCACCTGAGCAGCGTTTCTGCAGCCTCAGGATTTCTAGGTGCAGGTCTCGCAGCAGGGCCATCTGCTCCTTTTTCAGGAAGCTGATATGGCGTTGCACGCTCTGGATCTGATGCTCCAGGGACACAGTATCCATTGCGATCCAGTCCTGGGACCCACCTAGGGAGGATGACAAGGTGAACCCACATTTTCTGGGTCCATCTGCCCTGCCCACCTTCAAATTTCTCATAGTCTCTTTCAACTGCCCAGGTAGACAGTTCTGCCACTGCAGTCATTTTCCCTCCATTTACTCACTGAAGTTTCTTGCATAAGCAGATGTGTTGGCAGGGCAGTATAATTATTCCCATTAAACAGATGAAGAATCAAAGGCCCAGAGGGAAATGACTTTACTTCTCTGCTCCCATCACTTCAGTCTCTTCTACTCAAAGGGCAAAAGAATTGGAGCAGTGAAGTCAATAAAGACAGAATTGTGTTCTGGCATGCTCCTTAACCAGCTGTGTGTCTCTCCCTCTCTGGACTCTCAGTTTTCTCATGGTAAAATGAGGGTGTTGCCTCTGCCATCCTGCAAGCATCCCAGCTCAAAGGTGACCATCAACTGTCAGGCCAGCATAATGAGCACAAACCTTTAGTAGTTAAACTCCGTCTGTTCCTATGACTTAACCTCCACCCAGGGCTCTGGGCAATTGCAGGTCACCGAGGAGGGAGCTCTAATGATTGTTTTACTAACACTGACTCTGTGGATTGAAGGCAGGAGGCTGAGTACCTGTCTAAAAGAAGCATGGGGAGGGTGCTAGGAGACCCCTGCTGTGAATCCAAGGTGGAAACTTAACATACTGTGTTGGGGAGGGGAAGGGTTGCATCTCTGAATTTGATTGATGACCTGGCTTTTTAACAATCCTTCTGGCCCTCCCTGCCTCTTTCCCAGTGAGTCTCTTTCTTCCAGGTCCTGGAAAATATGGGCAGAGGGCAAAAACAGGAGGCAGATGGAAGTGGATGGCCAGACTTCTGGAGCCCAGTACTAAGAGCTCAATTCTTCTCTGACAGGGACTCCTGCTGGTCTGTGTGTCTCTCCAAGTAGACTGAGGGCTTCTTGAGCTTTTGAAGCTTCTGAAGGACCTGTCTCCATCTGCCCTGGGACTTCGCTGGGCGGTGGAGAGAGAAGCCAGTTGATGGACAGTCTGTTCAGCTAATGGTTTCTTCCAGACTGGTTTCCATGTAAGTCTCTGCAAATCCAGATTTTCATGTGTGGGTCACATCAAGTGGATCCACCTGAGAGTCACACATCCATAGGCCTCTGTTTTTGAGTTTGGCTCCCTCTTATCCCTTTTACTCCCCTAATCCAACCAAAGAGAACTTTCGTTTCAGCTGAGGGTAGCTCTTTGGCCCATGGGAATCACTGACCATCAGCAACTTTACTGACCATCAGTCATGTTCAAGGAACTTTATACATATTACCTTAAGGCGACTCTATAGTAGGTATTACCAGCCCTATTTCACAAACAAAGAAACTATAAAATGGGACTATTAGTAATAACAGCTCTAGGACAGTTTTGAGGATTAAGCGAGTTTAGACTTATAGAGTACTTCTCACAGGTCCTGGCTCAATCAATGCTACATCCCTTCTCTTCAAATGTTTGATGTATGAGTAGGTTAATCCCTGCCTTGATTTGCTGATTTTTTTTCATCATTCATTCATTTACTATTGCTAACTGCTGTGCTGGATACAGGGAGTGCTGAACAAATCAAAATGCCTACTCTTGTGGAGCTCACAGGGTAAGAAGGAAGAATAGAACAAGTAAATATTGCAGCAGCAAACAAAAAATAACACGGAGGCCTCCCTGGTGGCGCAGAGGGTTAAGTCTTACACTATGAAGTTATTGGCAGTCACTGAAGCAAAAGTTCAATCCCTCATCAGGGAGCTAACCCACATGGCACAGCAGACCTCTCCTATCATGCCTGCTGCTCCCCTTAGCAGTGTATTTCAGTGGATCCGCCTGTTCTGCTCCCCGCTTTGTCTCTGGTGTATCCTCTCGCACCCCTCCACCCCGGCACCTGTGGCCTATACCCCAGTTCTTGTATGCATAAATAAATGAAATAAATCTTTAAAAAAAGATTTTATGACAAGGGTGAAGGGATTTTGCAGATGTAATTAAGCTCTCAAACCAGTTGATTTTGAGTTCATTAAAAGGAGATTATTCTGGGTGGGCCAGTTCAAAGGGCCCTCACTGAAGGAGATATAAAGCATGAGATAAACTGGTTGCTGGCCTTGAAGGGGTAAACTGTCATGTTATGTGAGAGAGCTAGGAAAGAAACCACAAGCAAGGACCTGAGAGATACCTCTAGCAGCTAAGAATGCCCCCCTGGCTGACAGTTAGCAAGACAATGAGGACTTTAGTTCCATAACTGCAAAGACGTAAATTCCACTAACAACTCCAGGAAGCAGCTCTTTCCCTAGTTGAACCTTCAGGTGAGGAAGCAGCCAGCCTTGATTTCAGTCTTATGAGCCTCTGAGCAGAGGTTCTAGCTACAATGTGCCAGACTCCTGATCCTTGGAAACTGTGAGTTAATGATGTATGTTGTTTGAATTCCCTGAGTTTGCAGCAATAGAAAACATACAGAGTTGAGCGAGGGATAGGAGTTAGGATCTGTAGGCCCAGGGTAGGATAAATATGATAGTTATGTGAGTGCCTACTATGTGCCAAGGCTCCTGCTAAATGTAATTACATCTAGATGTAATTACATCTGCAATTACATCTGCTTAATTACATCTCTGTTTCTGAGGAACAGAGATGTTGCCAGTGCTGGTGAGGGCTGAAGGTAAGGTATTGAGGGAGGGTCTTGGGAGGGCAGGTTAGTAAGAGAAGATTCACACAGTGTCTTTTTTTTTTTTTTAATTTTTTTTTAAAAGAGGCAAGTATTTTATTCATTCATTTATTTGTTTGTTTTTTTTATACATGCACTGGTACAGTCAGAAGCGTGGGAGGGTGAGAGGATTCACCAGAGCCAGAGCGGGGAGCAGAGCAGGCAGAAGGACCGAAGTACACTGCTGAGGGGAGCAGCGGGCGGCAGGAGAGGTCTGCGCGCCATGTGGGACCCTCCTCCGGTGGCCGGGGAGCAGCCGGGGATCGAACCGGCGCAGCAGAGGCTGCGGGCAGCTTCGCAACCCAGCGCTCAACCGCTGCGCCACCGGGGAGGCCCCACACAGGGTCTTTTAAACTATGTTAAGAATTTTGGATTAATACTAAGTGAAGCAGAAAATTATTACAGTATTTTAAGCAGTAAAGGGACATGATATGATTTGCATTTTAAAAAGATTATTTTGGTTGCTGTGGGAAGGGCAGAATAGAGGGGGCAGAGTGGACCTGGAGGGGTCATGTGGGAGAGTGTAGTGGTGGTCAAGGTGAGGGATGGCAGAGGCTTGGGCCAGATAATGGAGGTGAAGACAGAGAAGTGACAGGTGTATTTTGGGGAAAGGACTGACAAGAGTTAGAGATGGAGTGGATTAGGTCATAGTGATGCGGAGGTGTCTGGGATGTCTCCCAGTTCTCTGACTTGGGTGATTCAAATATGAAGGCACACTTGCCCCATTTCCTCATTTTTCACACTAGGTCTCCTTCATTTTAATCTTCTTGTCTATCTAATCACTCTCTAGAAGACCTTGTCCAATCCTATGGCTGTAGATACTGTTTAATTTTTTTATTCATTAGGGCAGATTTGCTAAGAAAAAGAAAGGAGAAGATGCCTGCATAGACACAGGCAGGCAGAGAGTTTGTAGATACTATTTATATCTGGCCCCTAGACCAACTGTCCCCTGAACATTAGACTGACTACCTAACACCTCCTTAACATAGCCCTCAAACTTATAAGTTCCAATGCTGAACTCTGTGGATCCATCCTATAAACCTGCTCTTGCCCACTCTGCACCATCTTGATAAACGGCACTGGCATTTACCTATTCACTCAGTTACTAATGCCAAAAACTTAGAAGGCATCTCTGATTCCTCTCTCTCTTCATATTCCACAGCCAAGCCATCTGCAAATCCAGTTGGTTCTACCTTCAAAAATATATCCTAAATCCAATCAGTTCTTATTCTCTCCACTTCTGTCACCCTCGTCCAAGTTACCACCTTCCCTCTGGTATTGCTGCAGCAACCTCCTAACTGGCTCTGGCTTCCACTCTTGCTGCTTGTTTTCTATGCAACAGCTAGAGTTTCCTTAGCAAATTTGATCCTGTCTTCTTTCCCCTCACTCAAAACCCTCCAGTCACTTCCCATCACACAAAAACCAAGTCCAGTGTTCTTACCAGATGCCACACAACTGCTCCAGTTCTGTCTGTCCTCATCTTCTACAGTTCTATTGCTAGCTCTGCCTCAGTCAGTGGTCTTGCTGTTCCCTAGCCTGCTGTTCCCTGTTAAGTACATGCTTGCCTCAGCAACTTTGGATGTGCTGTCTCCTCTGCCAGGAACGCTTGAGATACGCTCGTGGTCCTTTTCCTCTCTGCTTTCAGGACTCTGTTCAAATGTTACCTCCTCAGGGCACTTCTCAGGGGGTTTATTTAAAATAACTCCCTCCCCCCACCCCTCCTCCCTGGTGGTACAGGGGTTAAAAACAGCGCTATCAAGCTACTGCCAGCCACTAAAGCATGAGTTTGATCCCTGGATGGCCCCGGAGCTACCCATATGGCATAGCAGACCTCTCCTGTCTTGCTCGCTGCTCCCCTCAGCGGTGTATTTCAGTAGATCTGCCTGCTCTGTTCCCCACTCTGTCTCTGGTGAATCCTCTCACCTCCCCTACCCCCAGCACTTCTGGCTTACACCCAGTTCTTGTATGCATAAATAAATAAATCTTAAAAAAAATACCCCTCCCCCATCATTCTCCATTCCCCTAATCTGCACTGTTTTTCTTCCAGGAATTTATCATCATGTGACTATATTTCCTTTTTGTTTATTGTCTATTTTCCCTGCCACACTGTTGGCAACACAAGATGAAGGACTCTGTTTCATTTCTTCCTGTTCCCTTGTACCTTGCACAGTCTCTAGCTAATAGGAGATATATGTAGAATACCTCACTAAATGACTAAGTATTTGTAGAATGCACAAATGAGTGAATTTTGGAGCTGGGAAGAGGAAAATCTGGAAGAGATTTACCGAGTGAGGCCTGGCCTGAGACATATTAGATTTAACATGCTCAAGAGGATTAAAACAAGGAAAGGAGATGCTGAGTGGGCAATCAAATCTGTGGGGGCCTCGCTCAGGAGAAGTAGGTGAGCTGTGTCTGCACTCCTGTAGATCTGTGTTAAGATGTATGTGCCTGGGAGACTGTACATGTTCCTGGGCCTGTGTGCATGTGGTTCTTGTTTCTCTTTCTTTTTTTTTTTTAAATTTATTTATTTATGCATACAAGAACTGGGGTACAGGGCCTCCCTGGTGGCGCAGGGGTTAAAGACAACCCTATCAAGCTATTGCCAGTCACTGCAGCACAAGTTTGATCCCCAGCTGGCCATGGAGTAGCCCACATGGCACAGTAGACCTCTCCTGGCTCACCTGCTGCTCCCCTCAGTAGTGTATTTCAGTCAGTCTGCCTGTTCTGTTCCCCACTTTCTCTGGTGAATCCTCTCTCCCTCCCCTCCCCTCACCTCTGGCCTACACCCCAGTTCTTATATGAATGAATAAATAAATCTTTTAAAAAAATAAAAGAACTGGGGTATAGGCCAGAAGTGCGGGGGTATGTGTGTGTGAAAGGATTCACCAAAGACAGAGTGGGGAGTAGAACAGGCAGATCCACTGAAATACCCTGCTGAGGGGAGCAGCGGGCAAGACAGGAAAGGCCTGCTGTGCCATGCAGGTTGCTCCCTGGCCAGGGATTGAACTCCTGCTGCAGAGGCTGCAGAAAGCTTCACAGTGCTGTGCTTAACCCCTTGTGCCACTAGGGGGGCCCTTGCTTCTCTATAGTCAATGTGTCTCTTTTGTCTGTTGCGTGTGCACCTGGAGGATGAAGGTGTGTGGGTCTCTGCTTAGGATGAAGAGAGAAAATGTCTATTCCTACTCGCTGAAATGCAAATTCTTCTGAAAAGTGAAAGCCCTTTCTACAAACAGCCCTGGAGACTGGACCTTGGCCACAGTGAGAGGCTGAGCCAACCAGCTGTTACTGTGCCTTCCCAAAAGGCCTTGAGTGTTTGCTTCCAACTAGGCAGGCTGCTCTTCTCAGAGCAGAAATTTGGGTCACAGGCGATCTTGGCAAATATTCTTTCTTAGACATTATTGTTTAGTTTGTTTGGGGGAGGGTAAGAAATGGAGTGGGGAAGGGGAAACCACGGATAACACAGATTTCTTTGTGTGACTGGGGAATCACACCTACTTCAGAAGGCCCAAGCCAGGAAAATGTCAGGATTTTGTGTAGAAAGGCAGTTCTGCAACTGCTAGGTTTCAGAAGCTGGTGACTGAGGCCTTGGTCCAGGCCAAGGGCAGCAACTGAAGGCTTAGAGCTCTTGGTTCCGATTTCTCCATTCACTCCTGCTTTGATGCCCAACCTCACAAGTGAAATGACTTGGGTGGGGAGGGTCCCTGGCCTCTGTCTATGGTCCTGACCACCTCAGGGCCTGTGCTGTTTCTGTTGCCTACCTTCTCTTGGTGCTCTTAGTTCTCTTTTTTTTTTTTTTTATTTTCCAGCTTAATGAAAAATGTTCATTAAAAAAATGTCATCAATAACATAACGACCTTTAACATAGGTTCACAACTTAGAGAATTAATTCCAAGTACTTTTGACATATCTCTGATCTGTCTGAAAGCTATACATATTTCCCCCTTGAGGAAGTTGCTGGGTAAAGCCTTCTGAGCTCAGGTCCACAACCATAGACCCTGGCACGTTTCTGGTTCTCTAAGACTTGGGTTTCCCATCCCTGAAAATGACTTTGCTTCCTGCTTGTCTTTTTGGAGTTTCTGGGTGCCTACTTTTCTTCCCAGCTATTTGCCTTACAGTTGACTTGACAAGTAGGAAACTGTAGTTGTCTCCCCTCTCCTATAAGAGTTCTTATAGCTCTTTGAGTTGGAAGAGCCACAGAAAGTACAGAACCGTAACACTCAGGACTCAGTGAGGCCTTCACAATCATCTCATTGTTTTCCAAATGTTGCTCCATAGAGTCCAGAATATTCTGCAGAAGGATCTCCTATTTTGCCTAAAGGGTGGGGGCAAAGAGCAGGGTTTGAAACTTTGCTTTTTTAAAAAAAAATCTCTTTTATTTGATGAGCTTGATATACAAATTCATTGGAGAAAAGGCTTCTGCTACCTAAAAGTTTGAAAACCACTTTTATAGTTCAGTGGGTTATCTAACCTTTGGATGTCTATCCCCCCTGCCTTAGTTGGCTCACTACTGCTCACCTGTGTTGCCCCATATCTCTCTTAGGCAGATGCAGTGTCTGGGAGAGGAACCAGAAATGAAGTCTCTTGCATTCTGCTTGCATGGACTTTGCATTGTCTGCCACCCCTCACCCCCCACCACTTCTTTGTCTTAGTTTCAATTTAACTTTTAATTTTTTTTTGGCGCTGAAAATATTTATTGAGTCAACAAATATCCTTGCATTGCACTATTCTGACACTCAATACCCACATTTTGTTAAAATTCTTTAAGTATGCCTTCGTGTTTCAGGAGAATGTTAAACTTGTTTTTATTATTCTTTTTTTTTAAAAAAAGATTTATTTATTTATGCATATAAGAACTGGGGTACAGGCCAGAGGTGCAGGGTGGGGGGTGAGGAGATTCATCAGAGACAGAGTGGGGAACAGAACAGGCAGACTGTGTGAAATACACTGCTGAGGGGAGCAGCGGGTGAGACAGGAGAGGTCTGCTGTGCCATGTGGGTAGCTCCCTGACCGGCTGGGGATCGAACTCATGCTGCAGAAGCTGCAGATAGGTTCACAGTGCTGTGCCTAACCCCTTGCACCATGAGGGAGGTCCTTGTTTTTATTATTCTTATAGCCAAGGCAGGCATATTCAACCAGAAAGGCATGGTAATAAATGAATGAATTTATGAAATAATATGTTCTTTACTTTTTTTAGTCATTCTTCTTCATTACCTGACTCTATGGCCTGGGGGAGGGCAACAGGAACTCAAGAAGCCTTTCTCAGACATGGATGTACAGGCATTAATACCAACACTATACTATTATTAATAGTAATACTAATAACAATAACAACAAATGGCTGGCATTGCTTTAAGCATTTAAAATATATTAACTAGGGCCTCCCCGGTGGCGCAGCGGTTGAGCGCTGGGTTGCGAAGCTGCCCACAGCCTCTGCAGTGCCAGTTCGATCCCCGGCTGCTCCCCGGCCACCGGAGGAGGGTCCCACATGGCGCGCAGACCTCTCCTGCCGCCCGCTGCTTCCCTCAGCAGTGTACTTTGGTCCTTCTGCCTGTTCTGCTCCCTGCTCTGGCTCTGGTGAATTCTCTCGCCGTCCCGCGCTTCTGATTGTACCCAATGCTTGTATAAATAATAAATAAATAAATAAATCTTTAAAAAAAAAAAAAATATATTAACTAATTTATCTTCATAACCACCCTCTATTGAAGGATCTATTAGTATATCCACTCCATAGGGGAGGAAACAGGTTTAGAGAGGTTAAGTAGTTTGCCCAATATATACAACTACAATGTCTGGCAATTAGGAGCACCCAATGGATGCTCCCCCTGGCATTTAGGGACCTTTATAATTTAAACAGTCCACATCTGCAGTCTGATCTCTTCCTCTTGGATTCTACCTCTTTCTGTCTTGCAACAAGCTGTGGGCATCCCCTCATTATCTCCCACCCTATATCTGCCTCCTGAAAGGTGATCCATCCTTCCAGGTTTCAGGAAACCCGCTCAAATGCTACCTTTCCCATGAAGCTTCCCTGACTTCCACCACGATGGAATGCCTCTTCCCCAAGTCTGTCCCCCAGGCATTCTGCCATGTATCACACTTCAGAGTGTGTGCACATGGGCCTGTGTGCACCTGGCTTCTGCTCTATGCTGTAGGCTTCCTGAGAGTAGGGATTTGTCTCTGGGAATTCCTTGCATGGGATAGGCACACAAAGAATGTTGGTTAAATAGGGTGCATGCTCGAAAGGTTATTGGAAATCACCAGGGCAAGTAAATACATGCATTAAAAAAATAATTACAACCCCAACCCACCCCCAAGTCCTTAGTTCTCCTGGGGACTTGAGTTGGTAATAAGAAGTCAGCCCTTGACAAATGTCTGGGACTGTGTAAGGTGGGATCACTTCACCAGTGGTGTAACCACCTTTTCTAGGGTGTTTGTGGTCCTCTCCATTCTGGGGACCCTCTTCTCTCAAAATCCCTATTCTATGGCCCCTCCCTTCCACTGAAGATCCCAGGACCCCCAGCCTCAGCAAAGCTGAAGATCTCAGGACACAGAGTGGGCTGTACCGGGCAATGAGAGTCCCCACCTCCTTCATTCCTGATGTTCTGCCCTGATTAAGCCTCTACTATGTCTCCTAGAGAAGGGGCGTAGGAATGTGGATACTAAGAAGGATGGAGAAGAAGAGGGGTACCAGAAGGACAGGGAAAGGCCTACAGAAAGAAAGATGTGTGTGGTGGGCGGTAGCAGGAGGTGGGGATGGTTCGACCTCGGGCCATTCCGGACTCTCCGCCAGGGCTGGGAAGGGCCCGAGACTGGGCAGCGGAAGACAACTTCTGCTAGCAGCCCGTGGGTCCTGTCTGTCTCCCGCTCGCTGCGGTGCCCAGCCCCGCGCCAGCCCTCCCCAGGGGAGCAGGAGCTCCGGACGCGCTGCTCCCCACCCTGGGCCACCCCGGTCCCCCCGTCGCGCCCAGCCATTACCCCCACCCCGCTCTACGCCCACCGGCATCCTTACCTTCGGGACCCGAGGGAGCGATGGGCCAGCGGGGCCCTGGGTCCGGGCCGGGCTGGGTGCGGGGAGGCGCTCTTCCTCCCAGAGCTAGCTGCGCCCGGGCTTCCGCAGCGCCTTCCCGGGTTGCGGCGCCATCAGCTGCTGCGAGGCTGCTGGGTGCTCAGGCCGGGACTCCGGGGGGGCTCCCGGGCGCCGACAAGGGGGTCCGGGGCGGGCTCCAGGCGTAAACACCCAGCAATGTGACCGGAACTGGCGAACGAGCCTTGGAGGGGGAGCGAGGGGGGAGAGATAAGGGGGGAAGGGAGGGACCTGGTACTGGCGGGGAGGGGCCGTGGGCGGGGGGGGGGAGGGGAGGTTTGCTGCGCGCGGTCGGGGGAGGGGGAACCCCGGGAGCCCCAAAAGTCAGGCCAAAGGACCGGGTCGGGGAGCCGAAGTCGCAGAACTGGCTCTGGCTGGGAGCTGGAAGGGAAGCCCCGGGAACCCGCCGATTACTTGGCGAGCAAGGGCGCGGCGGGCGGTTCAGCACCGCGGACAGCGCCCAGGCGGGCAGGCTGCGCCCCGCCCCGCCCCTCTGTCCACCCCCTGGCGTAGGAACCTTTGACTGACGCTGCCCGGCAGGCCCAGGGGAGAGCTGGGGAGGGGGCGAGGTTTCCAAGGGCCAGCAAATCTACCTTGTGCCTAGCTGGTAGCAAAGCCTCGCCACGTCTCGCGCTACCTGTATGACCTTGGGTGAGTCCCATCACCTCTCTGGGCCCCAATTGATAAAACACCCTCTTTCCCTCTCTGCAATTGTCTTAAGAGCCGAGAGAAGATCCTTTCTAAACTCTAAAGTTCAGAATATTGGTGTTGATTGATTTTCATTGCACGTGAGAGGCTTCTGAAGCTGACTGCTTGGCTTCTAATTCTGGCTCTACCTTCCTTCTTCCTGGGCCTCCCTCTCCTCATCTGTAAAATGGGATAATGATGGTTGATAAAACTCATAAAATCTTTGGGTTGTTGTGAGAAGTGTGTATATATATACACACACATATATGTGCACACGTATGTATATATGCACACATATGTATATATAAAATGCTGAGTGCTCATTAACCAATTGTTTTCATGATAGCCAGGGAACAGGTGGCATTGTGTGAGTAGCAGGTGGCTCAGAGTCCCTCTGGGGCCTGAGTGTATTCAGACTAAAACTTTTGTCTGTTTTTTCCCACTCCATTGCCAGTCAAATACTCCCTGCTATGACCCCCTGAGCCAAATATTCAGAGAAATCCTCTACCACAACTGGGAGACCCTACCATTGGGGAATTTAGAAGGAGTTCCAGCAATTCACTGGTTTCAAGGGCACCCTGTCTTCTCTTTAGGATAGCTTTTCTCCCTGTCATCTGAAATCAACTTTTTTAAAAAAAGGTTGGTTTATTTATGCATACAAGAGCTGGGGTACAGGCCAGAGATGTGGGGGGGGGGCGTGAGAGGATTCACCAGAGACAGAGTGGGGAACAGAACAGGCAGACTGACTGAAATACACTGCTGAGGGGAACAGTGGACGAGTCAGGAGAGGTCTGCTGTGCCATGTGGTTTCTCCCTAGCCAGGAGAGATCTGCTTCACCATGTGGTTCTCCCTGGCCAGCCGGGGATTGAACTTGTGCTGCAGAGGCTGCGGATTGCTTCATAGTGTGGTGCTTAACCCCTTGCGCCACCAGGGAGGCCTGCAATCAACTTGTAAGCCTTAACTGGACTTGAGTTTTGTTTTTTTTTTTTTTTTAAGATTTATTTATTTATGTATATAAGAACAAAGGTGTGGAGAGTGAGAGGATTCACCAGAGACAGAGTGGGGAACAGAACAGGCAGACTGACTGAAATACACTGCTGAGGGGAACAGTGGATGAGTCAGGAGAGGTCTGCTGTGCCATGTGGGTAGCTCGCTGGCCAGGGATCAAACTCATATTGCAGTGGCTGTGGAGAGCTTCATAGGTTGTGTCTTAATCCCTTGTACCACCAGGGAGGCCCTGGACCTGAGTGTTAGTAGATTAAAAACTTGAGCTGCTCCTGACACATTCTAACCCTCAAATAGTTGAAGAAATGACTCTCTTAGGTAACTTGACTCTGGGGCTTATATTTTGTTCAGAAACATCTCAAGTTCTCAACATCCCAATAAAGCTCCCTGTAGGAACTCCAACTTTTAGCTGTCCTCTGGGTAGCCCTCTTCACCTCATTTCCCTAAGGAAATCCCTGGAAAAGAGCAGAAGGGGCACCCCGGACCTGCTTCTTGTCCTTTCTATCTTTCCTAGGGAAGTATATCTGGCCTTGTACTGTGTGTGTCTCCAGCAGGTTGGATGAACCACCATTCATCAATTCTGAGTTACCAAACCTTCCACTTCATGAAATCTTGGTAAAAAGAATAAAAGATGCTTTGTATCCCCAAAAGATGTATAGTATGAAAGAAAACCTGGGCTCTGATGCCAGCTCTGTCACTTATTACTTGGGTAACTTGGGTAATTTGGGGCAATTCTTAACCTCTCTGAACTTCAGTTCGTACTCAGTAAAGTAAGAAAAGCAACAATACTCTGCCAATGGGATCATGGTGAGGGTGTCGTGAGGTGAGAGTGAAAGGACTTAATGAAGTGTATATAGATGGGATTGTTATGACCAAACCCAAATGTTTTTCTCCTTATGGGCCCAGATGAATCCAAACACTCTAACTTTTTTAGCATTTAAAGCAAACAATACCATATGCCTTCTAAGAGGTGATCCTGCCTGTTCATAGGGGGCTCCAGTCTTGCCACAAGAAGTACTTCTTGTAGATTCCCACAGTGGGCATGAGACCTGGAGCTGGAACCTCCGGTTCCCAGCTGGGCATGAAAGGCCTGGCCTCCAAGGCTATCCTCAGGACAACTGCAATATTTTTGACTGGAAAAAATATCTACAGGTGAAAGACAAACATAAGACACAAAAGACAAACAGTAAGTGTCCAAGGAGCAACCAAAAGTAACAGAACAAGCAGAGTTGAGAGTGTGCCATATAAAAGTAGAGTTAGGGCCTGGACCTGAGGGCTAGGGCACTTAGGGACACCACATTGGAGGAGACTAACATTCAACCATTCAGTCCATAGAACAATGGTGAGCAGAGCTAATAGCATAGCCTGCTATTGGAGATTGTGGGGGCGATCCAGAAGATATTTTAGAAGTATGGTGATAGAGATATTAGAGATGATAGTGATAATAATGAACATTTATTAAGCACTTTCTTTTTTTAAGATTTATTTATTTATGCATACAAGAACTGTAAGCCAGAGGTGCAGGAGGTGAGAGGATTCACCAGAGAGAGTGGGAAGCAGAACAGGCAGATCTACTGAAATATACTGCTGAGGGGAGCAGTGGACGAGGAGAGGTCTGCTGTGCCATGTGGGTCAGCTCCCTGGCTGGGGATTGAACTCCTGCTGCAGTGGCCGGCAGTAGCTTGATATTGCTGTCTTTAACCCCTGCACCACCAGGGAGGCCCATTATTAAGCACTTTCTACATACCAGACAAGCTAAAAAAGTTGTTAAACAACTTTTTCTTTATTTTCAAAATTAAACTTGTAACAAAGTGAAAGAAAACTAAGGTGCATAAAAAGTGTACATCTTGCCTCAGAAGTAACCATTATTTCAAGCTGAGTGCTTTACGCGCATGATCTCATTGAAACTTCAGAGAAATCTTATTGCAAAGGTTTATTCCCATTTCCAGGTGGAGAAAGAAAGACTAGAGAAATGTTAAATTTAATACCACCCAGGTTGTAAGCTCTGGGGTCAAACTCCAGTGCCGTCAAGGGCTCTCAGTGAGATGATGAATCCTGCTTGGCAGAAGGGCATTCACAGAGGCCGTGAGCTCTAGAGGGAGGTAAGAGCCTTGAATGCCAGCTAGGAGAATGAGGTCTGGGTGGCAGAGAAGGACTTGAGGTTTCTTCCATTTCTTCATGACAGCTCTGCATCAGTCAGTGTCCTGGCAGGGAACAGATGGCACATTTAGAATGGATCATTTGAAATGAGTTTAGGCACTATTTACAAAGCTGTGGGCAAAGTTCAAGGACAAGGGATAGAACTGTTACCATTTCTGGGCCTGAAGGGACAAGAGAAGAAAGCAGTTTTGGGAACTCAGAAAGGATAGATATGGGGAGAGGGCTGCCTGGCAGGAGCCATGATTTTCCATAAAGGGAAGTAACTGACCTACAGTAACCTGGCAGGGAAGGAGCTCCTGCCTCCCAGTCCCCTGCTGGTGTCTCCTCTAGCCAACCTCCACCTGAGGTTAAGGGAGCCCATTGACGTTCCGGTATAGGTCAACTTCTTAGGGCACAAACAGGGTCGAGGAAGGTGGGGAAAGTTTCTGGAACATGAGCTAGCTGGCATAACTGGATGGTTATGCCCACATTTAGTTACTTGCTGGAATGCTGCCCACTGAGTCCTCTGGCACTAATGAGAGCCTAGATCTCCAAATAGGGCAGGTGATAGGGTTACAGGGGTAACCTTTTTTCTTCTGGCTTTACTGTCCTGGCTTCCTTAGTTCAACTTGGAACCCCATAAGCCCACCCAATTTGGGTCCCTTGGAATTCTGTGGTTAGAGAGATGATGTGTTGGAGTTTTGGGACTGGAGAGCCAGCCAGAGTTTACTTTGGATAAGTCTCTTCGCCCACTCACTTTCTGAATCAAAGCTCAAATGGGGCAAGGTGGCACTTTCTTCAGTGGTAAAATGCCTGATTTGGACAAAAGTCCTTAAAATCTCAGCTCTGACTTTCAGAGTCTCTGATCATTTCTAATCTAGCGTGGCAATAGGAATGAGTTGTGTGTGTGTGCACGTGTGTGTATGTCTGTGCACACAAGTGAGCGTATTAGGCCACAATTTAGCTTCAGACACATTCCCTCTGCCTCAGTCCTGCCCACATTCCTTTCCATTTAGGGCAGAGAATTCAGCAGCTCACCTGACAGGCATCATTAAAGGGACCCTGATGGGTTCTGCTGCCTCTGGTGAAATTCTTCCATCAGACCCTGGGTAAGATCA